GGGAAGGATCACATCCCAGCCAACGCACAGCGGCTTGCAGGAAATCAGTGAAGGTGTTGCGTTCTGCACAAGGAGAACGGGAATTTCGTCCTGGAGAGAAAGAGAAAGAGAGCAGAGATGGGAAAGCAGCTGTAATTGTGAGATATTTCAGTGAATCCATCCACAACCGTCATACTTATGTCCCGCTCTGCTGTGGGCTTCGACAGAGGCTCTGACAGCCGCAACAGCCGGTATTAGTAGGCAGATAGTATTGCCGGCGAAGACAGGGGAGACTGGAATGGCCGTTTCTGGCTTATAAGCCATCGTCAGCCAGTCATACCCAGACCCAGGTGATGCCCCATTCGAGCCTCGAACTCGCGATCGCCTTGATCAGAATCAAACGCCTTAGCCATTGAACCACGAATTCATTGTCTACCTACGTTGTCTATCTCGTTGTCTACTATCTGCATACTACCAGCTGTTACGGCTGTCAGAGCTTCTGACGGGGCCCAAGGCAGAGCAGGGCAGATGAGTTCCGTTAGCGGTCCGGTGAACGTTCATCAACGCGAGTCAGTATCCCCTGGCCTAAACCGGCGAGACAACGAGCTCGTGGCTCAGTGGTTAGGGCATTCGACTCTGATCAAAAAAGTCTCGAGTTCGAGGATCAGGTGATGCACCACTTGGGTCTGGGTATGACTGGCTGACGACGCCTAATAATCCAGAAATGGCCATTCCAGTCTCCATTGTCTTTGCCGGCAACACTATCCGTCATACTTCTCTCCATAAAACACGCAGAGGAAGTCACCGCGAGGAGAGCATCGAAAACGCACTACTTTGGCAGCTAGCGCCATCCAGACTGAAATCTCGAGGAAGAGAAGGCGTCATACCAAATGAAAATAAAACAACAGTCGAGTGAATTAACCCTCCCCATAAACATCCTTACTCAACCAAGGAGATTCCAATATACCTGCCGCTAATGGTTAAGCTGGTTCGTTTAGGAAAGGAGGGGTGGCACTCTGTCCATTGTAGTCAATAAGGACCACCAGTAGCCGAAGAGACAGCGATGACCTGCGAGTGACTTGGCTTATAGTTAGGGAGAACTGCACAACAGTTAGCTCATCATTTAATATTCATCATTTTTTTCTGAGAGACGGCTGGAGATGGGCGTGGGCCCAGCGACAGAAGTCTGCGCATGCCACACACACGACGAAAAGTACTTCACTATATGTACGAGGCTTGGAGGCAAGACAGTTGTCATAAAATTCACAATAAATAGCCTTTACAGTTAGACACCAACGGATGATCTAACGATTCCGTTAGTTGGTAGACTTCATGGCCATGACTTTTGTAGATGATAAAGATAATACACGCATGCCTCCGTTTGGTATAAAGAAAAAAAACAACTGTCGGATTGGCATGAGGAAAGTACAGTAGTCGCCAAGGGCCATGCAACGTTCATAATGAAATTTAACCTGGTGATTTAGCGTATATTTAGTAACACTATTTTGATTCATTCAGT